TGATGCTGCCCTTGAACTTTCTTGGGGCTACCGTGGCCGGATTAAATTATATTTCCACAAATGATGACCATTGTATAGATAAAACAATTATATTTTTTTTTATTTTTGTTTGTTAAGTAGATATAAAGATTTTATGATTATAGAATTTACCTGTATAAAAGTAATAGAAATGTCTACTATAAAAAAAATAGCTATGATTAGAATATTATATATTGTTATCAATGTTTTTTTATTTTATTATATTATAAATAATAAATATTTTGATGCTGAACTTGAAGAATATACAGAATTAATCTCTTACTGCCTCTGAAACTGGAGGCTGCACATTACCCATAATAATGTATACGATTTTGTTTTGTTTGATCCATCACGTCATGATTACAGTGTCGTTAAATTGACTCTAACCAGAGTAATACTTGTGTAAAATATCAATATTTATTATGTCAGCTTATAACACAGTTGACAATTCCATAGAAAGTCCAACTCCCCCCCCCCCCTCCACCCATAAATAATTGATACCTACGCATCTGGCAACGTTCGACACAAAACTGAAAGAATAACATTTTAATTATATCAATTGTATATTTGTGTGTTGGACGTGAATTATTATAGTAAAAGCAACTTTAGAAATTGCGAGTAATTATAAATTGGTTTTGTATAGTCAAGGCGGAATGGTGGATTGATCCACATTGTTTGTAACGATATTTATACAATTCATTATTTCATTTTCCATGTTAAGTACTCAGTACAAATGGCAGATTGTGGACGACTAGACAATTTTTCTCGTTGTGACGGTGAGGTAAGTTAAGATAGAAGACTCCGCTCTACAGGTGCCTATTTTCAATTTCACACGATATGGACTGTTCGACTAAACATAAAAGTAAAACAATTTTTTTTCAACAGTTGCATTATTAATACACTTTGACATTTTGGTACATCAGTGTGCCTAACCTACCCGTCAGTGTCGTTACAATATATTTTTGGGTGCTCAAACCCATGTAATACAAACAAAAATTTAGTATGGAAATCATTGTATATGTATGTATATTACCATTATAGTTCATAAAGCCACTCAAAAAATTTGACTAGTATCGCGTAATCGCACGACGTATTGGCCGGTGCTCGACGAAAAGGGTTGATGGTGGCTTTGCGACGACGATAAACGATTTAATCTCGTCACGCGTTTCTGCGGTCGTCCATATGCATACTGCATATAATACAACATATCGTATATACCCGATAAATATAGCAGCAAGTCGACGACGGCGATGACGACACTGGTCGAATGATCGAACGCGGGTTGGGTCTGGCCTGTGGGGGACTTGTGCTGAGAGAGGGTGTGCAGGCGGATCGTTCGTGTCCGTCGCAGATCCAGCGTGGAAAAAAAAAAGAATAAATAGGAAACGTCGTCGACGGTTTCAAGTGGACGCGTGTCGGACACACGTGCTACGCGGCCGATAATTATTTATTTATGTTAATGTGTGTAGATCGGTGCCGCCGAACACGGTGACTGCAGCGGACGGCGTACGTTACCCCAGCACCCCCAAGTACAAATTTCATAACTTTAAATTCTCTATAAGTTTTGAAATTATGTAATATATTTTTTTTTTTGTTTTTCTTATCTTCGAACAACTTCGATTTTTATCAACTTTTTACTTTAAGGATGGTTTTTGAAAGAAACTTATGGATACCTACCTACCTATCGGTTTTCCTAGATTGCAAGTAAAATTTAAGTGTTCACAGATAGATTATAGTTACTTCGGCGGGCTCTATTATCATACTTCGTTATCATAGTTTAAATGATAATTAAATCCACGAAGAAGTTGTTTTCATTCACGAACGTAATATTATATCTATCATCATATTATATGATATATGATGCGATTAGAACCACTCTGCTGTACACTAGGTACCAATCTCGTCATTCAGCAGGTATACCTGTGTGTTAAATTTTGAGTTAAATAATAAATAATTGCATACGCAAGGTTTTTATCGATTTCATATATTTGTGTTTTTAACTTATGAGTCAAAGTACTGAAGAACGGGATGAATAGCAGGTTCAAGGTTTGATTAAATGACCAATAGCTTAAAATTAATCTTTTAATATTTTTAAAAAATATCATTGAGTCTATATTAAATTATAATAATAAATTAAAAGTTTCAAGTAACACATAAACAGTGTTTTATATAAATCGAATCAGTAATCAGTCTAACAAATTAATAATTATTAGATGTATTAAAAATATCAACCGTGGAAAAATGCAGGTATTTTAAATTTTGGGCGAAGTGATAAGTTCAAATTATTTAAAATAAAAGACACAGACATTTTTATTTAATAAACGTTTTATATTTATAAGAAAATACTTCAGTAAAACCATATAATTAGCAGCACATTTTACCAAGACGCAGGGGCAGGAACCAGGAAAATCCAAACGCCACTACTGCTTAAACCACTATATAGCTGCTAGCGAATTGCGGAATAAGAAATAATAGTATTAGATGAATTTTTAACAAAATATTTTGTTATTATGTTCAACAATTTAAGACAACAATTTTCAATTTAAATATCCTAATTTAGATGATTAGTAACTACCTAATACACGTTGTATAGAACAAATAATGTATTGAAAATGATAATGGATGATTTATCAAAGTCAAAAGTGGTAGTTGAAGAATAATACCTTGTTAATGATTATATAAATAGGTTTACTATAAATTTATACAATTCTAAAACGTTAGTTGAAAATGACACGTATTTGATATTTTGATCTTTGAACCATCATTGCCATCTCTAACATTTTTTGTAATCTTACGAATAAATTTAAATGCTAAATAAGTTATTAGTTTAAAAAAATTAAATAAATCGTTCGCATGAACGACAGAAATACAGAATATAAGTATAAAATATCAATCATCACGAATCAGACAAATCACTAATGTATCAGAATACCCGCTGTCGACCTCCAATGTTCCGGGATCGTTGTCGTTATAGCATAATTTTCTCTGCTGTTTAAGTCTATCTGTTACACCTTGTATGCAGAGTATTAGGATTATTACATTTTATACAAGAAAACATTTTCTACAACTGTGATAAATAATACAATTAATAATCCTATGACTTGGAATTTTATACAAAAAAAAATACCAAATCTATTCACTACAAAAAAAAAGGTTCTGTATGAATCATTCGAATTTTTATTTTATATATTATTGTATTATTAATTTTGATATTTTTCGCATACATTATTCACTTATATTTCAATTATAAGTTAATCATTTTAAAGACATTAATCTGCGACGTGGAAGCTAAAAGATTATTGTGGAGAAAATCACATAATACTAAGAATCTAGGACTTCAGTACACATGCAGGTAGAATAATTATAGCAATTTAATTTTTTTTGAACAGTTGTTTTTAAAAAAATGAAGAAAACAGTAAAAGAATAAACTAGGTAACAATAACTTATATTATTTAGTTTTCATCCTAAAACATAAATAAACAAGATCCCTAAAATATCAATAATTTTGGATTTCTATTCTTTATAAATCCTAAAAAAAAGATTTTTATTAGAATTTTTTTGTTTAAAGATTTTTGATTTTTTTTGCAATCTATTTATTTAACTATCCAAAAAAAAATGAAAATAGTTCTTAAGCCTAACTTATTACACAACACCAAAAATAATTGTGCCCACAGTTTGAGGACACCCAAGCCCCTGCGGGTACACCCCTCCCCCGCAAGTACCTAGATAATAGCTGGTATATACATCTTGTATTAATTTATATTTCAAATTAATAATTCGTTTTATCATATAATAATGCATCAGATATCTCGACTTACATGTATTCGTGATTTTATTTTAATTTATCGGCTCTAATTATATTATATTTTACAATACCCGTAATAAAGATTTTTTTTATATACCGTTAGGCCGAAGCAATTTTGCAAAAAATGCTCCTATAACAAGAATGATGTCCATATTTAATAAAAACCAATAATTTCGTACCTAGACTCACACATCACATTAGCTTTTAATTTTAACACACAAATTATATTATTACTATATTTACTTATATTTGTCTTATCCATAATACTTTATTTTGTAATATCTTTATCCATTCTGTTATAAAAGCCGTTTGGCGTCAATTAGTATATATTATATATATATACAAATAAATAAATAAATAAATAAATTTTATACCTGCAACTTATGTATGTAACTTTAAAGTTCATTATATAGAATTATAAATAATCGACGTAAAATAACATAAAGACTTTTATATTATTTAACGAAAATAAATTAATGAACACAATAATTTGTGATTTAAATAAAACTCAACGAGTTATAATCGACTTTGAGCTGAATCTACACAATCATTAAAATAATAATCATCATTCTGCATCAATAAATCATCTTTAAAAAATGTACTTATTATTTAATGTGCTAAAAATGTTTTCTTTTTATGATATTATGACGTAAATACTTAATATTAACCAAACACCGTAAATTTATCATAATTTTTATTGGCGTTTGAGTTTGGATCATTCATAAATCAATTCAGAAATAGTTTCGATTATCTTCCAAGGCCTAATAAACTGATAGATTAATAATAAATTGATACAATACATTTATGAGAATTAAATGTTACTAATAACAACCTCAATTTTTTTAAATAGAAAACATATTTTATTTACTCACATTTTAAACTAATATTTTTAAATGTTATACACTTATACCTATATAAAAACAGTTGAGTTTATAGATATAATTTTGATTAAAAGTACATTTTTAAAGAAATAATAAGTGAAGTGTAAAAAAATGAACAACAATAATTATAAAAACATGGAATTAAAATTAGTTGAACAAATTTCAATATAAGTATCTGCACAAATAATGAATGTTGAATTCATAAAAAAAAATCGGAACATTAACAATTTTAGAGGGGTGTGTGTTGAATATAAAATTCCAACCAATATAGTTCATATCGCCATTTGAAGGAAATTATTTATTAAAGACATAATTAAAAATAATACACAAAAGAACCAATAATATTCCAGTTTCTTACACGGTAAGATTAAAACTATTCCTTAGATCTATGTACATTTAAAACGGCCGAGTTAAAGTCGTTAATTTCGTTTTGTCTTTTTTTTCACGTTTAGTTTTGGCGCTCGACTTGGTTTCGGCACTTTTGGTCGGTTTGGGGTCACTAGCCGACCCAAACCCTAATTTTTTAGGAGATATTTCGACGGTTTCTTTGCTCACCGGAGTGTCTTTTCCATCAGAAGTTGTTGTGGACGTCTTACGAACGACCACCGCTGAGGCAACATCTTCATCGCCGACGGATAAATCGAATTCACCTTGTCCTGCATTCGATGTACGCGACGCATTCCGTTCGTTATCAATGAAGTTTAACATCGAGTCAGTGTCTATCGTGACATCATCCGTCTTTAAGACCAAAGATGATTTGGATCTCGATTTTCCAAATTTCAACAAACCGGAACCTGCCCGGGACAATTTTTTAGTAGACGCAGACTCGTTCTCGGCTTCTTGGATGTCGTCGTCCGTCGGTTGAGAGATCGACCTTTTAAATATTTTGGGCAACGACATGGACTTCTTGGACTTTTCCGGAGACTTTGTGTCTCGCTTGTCAGGCTCATCGCCTTCCACATTCTTCGGTGATTTGCTTTTGCTGCGGTTCAACTTCAATCCGGACTTACCGATCTCCATCTTTTTATCGCCGACGCTCATGCTGATTCCGGATTTCCCGACACCAAACTGGAAACCAGGCGGTTTTTTCTCATTTTCCGGTATACCGTCGGTGACTACGGTCTCTTCGATGGTTCTCACTTCCCCGGGCAACGAAGATGACGATATTTTACGAGTTGTCTTGACTGTGACCTTGGTGTGCCCCGAACCAGGTAAAGATTCGTCCAACGTGTCCGGTGAATCCTCAATCGTAGTAGTTTCTATTATTTCTTCAATAATTTCTTCACCTTCGTCACCGTCAGCCCCGTCGATGTATATAATTTCTTCGATAACTTCAACGTCATCCTCTTCATTTTCAATATTTTTATGGGATGCGATGGATTCGTCAGTTACCACATTTTCCACATTTTTATCTTCTTTATCGAATCCTAAGAACTTTAATTTCGATTCGTTAATTTTAGTCTTAGTGTCGGTAACGACAGGGTTATCATTTTTTATGATAATATCCTCTTCGTTTTGTTTACTTTCGATTAGTTCTTGGGTTGTAACTCTGTCTAATGTACTTGTTTTTAAGTCGGATGCTTGTTCATTCCTTTCAATTTGTTGTAGATCCGGTACTGACACTTGTAAAACGGTATCTTCAATCAAAGGCTTAGAGTTAGGAGATTGTTGTGATTCGCCGAGGGTTGTACTTTTGATCTCTTCTTGAATTGCAGCATTTTGTGTTTCAATTTTGTTTAAGTGTGTTTTTTCCAAATTATTTTCTGATTCGATTTCAACATCCACCCGAACATCATCAGTATTTTTTGTTGGCTTTTCGTTTTCTACAAATTTGGATATCAATGCTGCATCTTTAGATATTTTATCCAAGTTCTTCTTAATTTCATCAGTTGATTCGACTTTTTTGCCCACTTTTTCGACGATACTACTGATTGTCGGTTTTACTTTTTCGGTGAATATTTTATTTATTTTTCCGCTTATAACTTCTTTTATAGATTTTCCTTGAAAATTATTCTCAATATTAATAAGTTTTTCTTTGACATTTTTTACAAGCGATTCATCTTCTGGTGTAGAATAACTTAAATTCTTATCTGAATTCTTTGATTTTCGTTTAAGTTTACGGACTTTTGTTTTAGATACCGAAGATTTCTTTTCATTTGAAATACTACCATATTCATTATTACTATTTTGTTTACTACTATCTTCGTTGTTACTGCTATCACTAGATTTTTGAGACGTTTCATCTACGATTTGAGGGGTTGATATATTAAATTTAGGCTGTAAAAGTGGTGTTTTTTCATTCGTTAAGTCTGGTGCTTCTAAATCATCATAACCACCACGACGACAACAACAGCAGAATGATATTATAATGACCTGAAAACAAAAATATGAAGTTGAAACATAAAAATGTTTGAGTCGTTTAAACTTTTTAAATCATACTTTAATCGAATTAAAAATCGATTGGAATGTTCCTTTAAAGGGTATTTGATCTGTACCAGATAGTTTATAATAATAACGATTTATGGCTGTTCCAACTACTCCAGTAACTGCTGTCAATGACGCTCTGTAACATTACAATATTGGAATATTAAAACAAATGTATTTATAGTTACTAACATTTTATTATAAACTTTAATATATCATACTTACAATGCTCCTATTATTGTAGCAGCAGATATATGAATACCGTTAGGGAAAATGTTCGAAAACAATTTATCGAAACTAAAGCCGTTTCCTGATTGGCTTGTACTATCTGTAGTCGTCGTTTTTATTTCATCGTTTTCATCACTATCCGATGATTGTGCACTAGGTACCGGTATCGATTGGTCTGGTTGTAGGTTTTTGTTTACATTATTGATTTCATTTGCAATTGTACCGTTTGGTTCTGATTTATTGTTTGTTGTAATATTGTGTAACGATCCGTCAACCGGCGATTCAGTGGACGAACCATTTACTTCACCAGATTCATCAGTATAGTCATTATCCTTTGTGTTTGGTGAACTAGTTTTTGTGGGCTTGACAGTGACAGAAGTAGTGTTATTATCACTATCACTAGTTGAATTATAATCATTTTTCATTTTATTGGTTGGATTAGTTTCATTTGTATTAGCAATATTAATAGTATTAGCATCGACACCTTTATCTCCACTACCATTTGCTTTATTCCCAGTCATCGAGTCGGTACGGGGTGTACTCTCGGTTATTGAACCATTAACGTTCTTTGGATTGTTTTCGATTTCATTTTTTTGAGATGACTTGGACTCTGGATTATTGTTTTGAGAATGAGTTTGATTTGCACCATTATTTGTGCTATGTTTTGTCCTATTAATATTATGAGCATCAACACCTTTATCTCCACTACCCTTTGCTTTATTCTCAGTCATCGAGTCGGTACGGGGTGTACTCTCGGTTATTGAACCATTAACTTTCTTCGGATTGTTTTCGATTTCATTTTTTTGATCTTCTATTTGAGATGACTTGGTCTCTGGATTATTGTTTTGTGAATGCGTTTGGTTGGCTTTATTTTCTTTAGTTACATCACCTGGCACCTTGTTATCATAAATAATCGAATTGTTATCTTTCGATTGCCTTTGATATGAAGTATTAAATATTTGTTCGTCAGTTGTATTATATATAATTTCGTTGTCCGTGTTCGGAGTTTTATTATAAATACGTGGGTCGTTATTTAAATTCGATTTTTTTGAATTATCTTGTTTCAACTTTGTTTTGTTATCTGAAGGAATTTTGTGTTCACCAAAATCATTCATCTCTTTATCTGATGTTTTGTTTTCAAATGTGTTTCGGCTAGAAGTTTTTTCAATATTTTCATTGTCTCTGAACTTCTTGTATTTCGTATCGTTATTTAAGGCATTTTCCGGATATAAATTACCAAACATATTTTCATCATATTTAGTTGATTCACTTATAACCGAATTTTCATATTTACCTTCAGTGTTTTTATTTTGATTAAGATATTTTTTCAAATCATTATAGTGTGAAATACTTTCATTTTTTCCTGGATAATTATATTCTTTATTAGACGATACACCAGGCACGATGTTATTAATTTTGAAATAAGCCAATTTATTTTCAAAATTATTACTTGGGTAATGTGCTTTGTTTTCATAATGTAACATATTATGTTTGATCCAGGGTTTGTTATTCATAATATGATCTGCGGACATTTTGTCTTCAGGTGTATTTGGTTTAAAATGACCTGATTTAGCTTCCTCCTCTTCATTTTTTTCGTAGAATGATTTTTTATACTTGTTTAAATAATTATCTTTATTTTCACTGTCTGATTGTTTTTCCTGGTATTTTGAATTAACTCGAGTTGAGTTACCATTTTTAATTTCCTCGTTGTTTGTTTTATTTTCTTTAATGGTTCTAAAATTTTCATTTCTAAAAGATTTATTAAATTTGTTGTCTAAATAATTCATATGAGGCTTTTTTTCATTTGCAATATTTGAAGATTTATTATTCTTATTGATGTTTCTTGTTTCGTAATCAAACCCATTTTTCCTAGAAGGAATTTCATAGGAATGAGTTGACTCTCTCACGTTGTATTTTTCATATTCAGTCTAAAATAATATTTAATAATATTATAACATCATAATTATTAGGTGAATTTTTTTAAGAAGATGTCATGGCAATATTTGCTTTCTTTGCTATCTCTGATCGCAACGAAATTATAACTACGTTTAGCCGAAATAATATGGTGTGGTTTGCTTTAATATAAGAGAGAAATTATCTATGATCTAACTCAAAGTTAATAACATTAACTTTGTTTATAAGTTGGCTTTTTTAGGATATTTCAATTTTATACAATATATTATTTGCATTATTTATTGTATTTTTTTATTCGTTGGGATGTAAGAGTGAAAATAAAATTGGAGCTCTGACAACCTCATAAGTTCTTCTGGAAAAAAGATCGGCCATCGGATAATATATTTAAAAAGTACTCTAAATTAGTCGGTTAATTTAATTGAACTTAAATTAACATGAACCCAACTTTGTTGACCGATACTGATTTTTTCCAATGATGGTTTTTGCTATACTTACTATTGTCAATTCAAAAGCTTGACATCTCAATAATTATTTTATGCTTTATTTATAAATTCATGATTTTAATTTTTTTATTATAACAACAATTTAAAATTCCGAGTATCCTTGATTATACCTGATTAATTTCATATAAATCACGGCGGTACTGATTTAATTTATTTCAATATTTTGTATAATAGAATTTGTATTCTCGGTAGTAGTATTAAAAAAATATCTCTACATCAATGGCTGTATGAAACAACTAACAAGTATAAATAAGAATGTACCAATATTTATATTGGTTTTAGATTTGGTTACCTGATTTTTTTGTGTAGAAATATCTCTTTCCGTAACCACTAATGGTAAATGTGGCTGACGGTCACATATTTTAGACGTTATTACTTCAAACCACACTTGACATATTTCAGGTTGATCAGGATCTTCGTCAATCAATGTTAAAATATCCTAAAACACAATAAGGTATTTTGTTTTATATATAAACTGACTTACAGACATTTTATAAAAACAATATTAAAAGCATAACCAGGTTTATTAAAAAAAAATCATTATTATAATTATAAAGTCAAATTAAAAATTAAAAATGTGCTTAACAGTGTTTTATGAAATGTATAGATCATTATTCAGTTTTTTAAATTCTTTCAAAAACTAATATTTTGGTTATAGGTATAGGTCAAAGTTTGCTGTATTTTTATAATAATATTATGATATAAATTCCAACTCTGTAAAATATAGTAGTTTTATGTAAGCGTTTGGCACATGACATTTATGACGTTAGAATTATAACAAAACTATTAACTATAATGATGGGTAAAAGATAAAATAAAAAGTATACTTAGGAAATAATATTTTAACTAGCGAAAACCAAAAGGCTAATTAAAATCAAAAGCTGTGGTACTAGTTATACCACTTATACTAGTGAACATTTCTGAGAACTATAATGTTGAAAAAACAAAAAACCAAAAGATAACATTTTTTTGGTTACCTAACTCGTATTAAATTCTTAAACGATTCTGTAGGTATCAACTAATAACGTACCCAATTTTTGTTATAAATGCGTGCAAAGAACAAATAAATTCTTCAATTTTTAAACTACGAATGAGATAATGTTATTAGTTTTCATTTTGTGATTATATGTGAATACAATTAAAATACAATTAAAACTGTAAAACGCAGATTTCCGTTCAAATTCTAAATACAAATACTAAATAATAGTAGCTGGTAGGATATTTAAAACAAAAAATGGCTTTTCTAATACCTAACCAAAAATATATATTTTTAAAACACTTTCATAGTTTATAAATAATATCCACCAGCGAGTGTCCCTGTCGAGCTCATAATTAATAATTTATAAGTTTGCTTGACATCAGTTTGCTACGACGTATAATACATATTTACATTATTCTTACTAAAAAGTAAAAACATATTTAAATAAGTAGGTACATCATTGAAAATTTAGATCATTACTGTATGAACTAGATCAAATTAGGTTAGATTTTTATGGGATTCATCCTGTATCTAATCAGTGAATATGAAATAGGTTAGTTGGTACCTACTTCCTACTCAAAAACTAAAAGTTAAAAATGAATTTAATTGTTGTATATTAACTTTTTGACTATGTTTATAGTTTATGTGTATTTACTGAAATTTTAATTTACATTTTAAAATTGCATTATTGGTTTTGAAAGTTGTTAGATGCATTCCTTTTTTAAGACAAGCATTTCAAATCATAACTTACATGGATTGCCAAAGGATCACATATGAACGTCACATACGTTGTCCATCTTAGACCTTTGCACGTGTCTTCTATATCTCTATCTCGATCACCACCAACATATGTAAGCACAATACTATTCTCTGAAAACGAAATAAACAGGGTACAACATATTTACGAAATATTTTAAAATAATAATTAAATCAAACCGTTAACGATGACGTTGGATTGGTCGATGCGTCCAAGACTGATCGTGTTACCTTCGGGCGTCAATTTAATGGCACCAGACAATTTTCTGGGATCATAGAACATTTTCGGTACAGGACGGCATATTGATACGACATAAATATTTTCATTCGATTCAGTTGTTAGTCTGTGTGAAAAAATTTAAAACGATATTTGAAAAAAAATATTTTATGTACATATTTATAATTCCGTCTCAGATATTATGATAAATTAAGTTTATCGTTATAGCCGGTGTAGCTTTAGCAGTACAGCTTATATAATTCCCTATACCTATTTATTGTAAATACTAATATTATAAAAGTATTTATGTAAATGCAATCAGTAATCACAAAATCAATGTCTTTAAGTGAATATTCGTTAAAAAAAATGTTCAACATCATGATACTCATTTACATCGACATTTCAACATTTGTATTTTTATTTAAAATAATCACAAGATTTGTTATTTTCAATAATAATAATTAATAATAGTAAATTATATGTAAATTACAGAATTTATACACAACTGGTTTTATTTAAATTATATAACTATAAAACAAAGTATGAATTATGTATTATGATACATCGAGTTTGTCATGGAAATAAAGTTATTTTCTGTAGATCCTAGGCTATGTCAACATTGCCATAAATGGGGAAAACGAGTTTTCTAGTTTGTGAAGTTGAAAGAAAAATTTTTTGTACAAAAATGTTCAAAATAAATTACATAATATTGAATAATTTTGAAATTCAATTTCAAATATATGCAGGCAGTTCTGGGTTAGAAGACCTATTTTCGGCGTACCTATTTCTTAAATTTAACCACGAAGTATATGATGTAATTTGCAGTTTTTGATATTGTATGTCTGAAGGATATTCAAAGAGATTTTAAACTATTTTAAGAAACATTTAAATTCAACAATTAAAATATTTTTAAATACAGTTCAAAAGAAATTTACAATTGTTAATGGTTATAATAGTATTAATAATGCCTATTATAGTATTATTAACAAATCTAAAATCAAGTTAAAAAAACAATTCTGTGCCAGCACAAGATATTGATTGATATCGATAGCAAAAATACTAACAGGGTATAATAAATTTTTTTTTTCATTTAGGATTATAAGCTATCTATTACACTAAAGCATTGAACATTTAAGCTTAATTGATTGATAATAGAGATGAGACCCCCAGGAATACACTTTTGGATCACTCTGTATACTTCTTATGTATGATATAATTTCATCATTAATTGTAAATTTAAGATTTTTATAGATTTAATAAATTATTATACGTATGGTACAAATTTTAATCTTGCAACAATTTGTTAATAGAGTAAAATTGTATTAACATTAACACTAAAAAATATAATAATATTATATGTTTTCATTTACTTAGGTGTATAAATCACAATTTTATCAATTACCAAGATTGAGTAATATTTCATTATAAATATATATATATAGTTCATAAAATGTTATTTAAATAAATTTAAGATAAACCGATAACGTCATAACGAATAAAATAATCATTAATTTTATCTATAAAATATACTGGATAGAAAACAATTTTTCCGCTAATAATAGGTATTAAGACTATAAACAATTATTTATGATTAAAATGTACAATTAATGAGTTCGATATAGCACCATATACATTATTATTTGACTTTTAAGTATAAATAATAATCTGAAGATAAGTCAATTTCGCCAGATAGCTATACGCTTTAATTCATTTATACTTACGTTTAAATAAGGAAATACTTAGCAATACCTTCAGCAAGACTTGGCCCATTTTAGTACCTAAGTAATTAGGTATGCTAGTTTTGGTGTTGCCAAGAATAGAATATCCAAGGACATAAGACGTATCATATTATATTTATACTTTTTATTATATTCTATGTTATAGAGTACATCAGCCCCACGATTTCGAAATTAAATACAAACTCGAAAAATAATAATGTTGAAATATAATATTAATGTGATGATGTACGAACAGATATGCAAAATACGACCTAAAGAAACCTAAGCCTATCAGCGTAATAAAAAAGAAATCCTTCGTTTCGTTTTCATCCATAGAGAGTAAAATATATGTATTTTGTATGATGGCCAAACCAAATTTAAACATTTTAAACCACCTAATTAGTGGTCAGTTTTTACTTATAATATTAGGTCATATTTAACCTAATGATTGACAAGACAAACCAATACAAATACTCGTATAGCATTGTATATGACATTTAACCATGTAGGTATATAATATTATTTTTGGATGAAATCGTGACAGTCACTTCAATTTATTGACCCGTTTTTAGTCGTATTATTGAATAAAAATGTTGATTTCAAACATTCGGATTTTATACAGTCTTATACCTATACATTTTCTAAGACGCCAGTATATGAATATATTCTTAGGCCAACTAAAAACAACCTTCCAAAATGTGAGATATATATGTACAAAATACTTGTTAAACTAGTTCTACGCATTTATTTTTTATCATAATATTACTCCTATATATAAGGTAAGAAAAATTACATACTATCACCAGTATGTAAATTTTGTTTTTTTTATCATTAACTTACACTACAATAATATCTACCTATATGAATGTATTGTTTTCCTTTACCTATATTATAATACTGTGCTATAAATATTGCATCTCAAGGGAAAATTGATTTATTATTACACAGACATGTAGGTACAATGTTCATGCAATTATAATATAAAACATATACCTACTATATTACACTGTATAGGTTCCTAGACTCGTAGCCATGGAATGGTGGCGAGGGGGGCAATAATCATTACTCAGCTCCCAACCAACAAATATTAAATGTATGTATGTAGTGGTATATTATGGTTAAATAGTTATGTATTTTATTGATCCTCCTGCCCCCTAAAATTTGATTTTCCCCGCCAAAAGATTTGGTCTCCTACTGGCTTTTGTGTACCAATATAGGTATAAATATGGTATAAATATGTACGCGTTATACCAAAATATACTGTATAACTCTGTAAGTAACAAATTATTATGTTATATATTTTAAAAATAAGAGTATAATACAGATCAAAATATTCGCTCATAGATTTTAATGATACATGTCTTGATGTTTTACAACATCAAGAAATTAAAACGGTCGTTAACTATACAGTTGTTAATCAAAACATTACCGACTACAGAATTACTGAAAACATGTTTGTTTTCTTTAATATTAAACTCATTATTATTTCTGATGACATTTCCAACGATCAAGATCACTTCGTAGTAAATTAAGACGTGGTTTTATAATACACATATATTATTAATGTATGCACAAATACCTAATATAAATCCGTTTTTTACTCGTCCAGCGAGTCGATGAATACGACAAACATACCAACTTTGTTTTGGCAGCAGGCATTCAGGAATTCGTATTTCAGTATGCCCAACTTAAAAATTAAAACACCGAAAGATTTTATTAAACCCACACTTGACCAAATAATAAGTACATCGATCAACTTGGGTGCTTCGGTGACCAAATAAGTATCAATCGTCAATAATTCATTATTTATTATGTATACAAACCAGAAAATAAACAAGCCAACAACTTTATTATGAATTATTATTAGAGCTACTTGCTACTCTTAAACTATCGATGATACCAAATTAATTATCTGCTTTGGTCTAGTTCGATAAAAAAAAAAAAAGTAAAACACAATAGTTATAAAATAATCTTGCCACCGCAAACCGTTTATTATATAATTATATATTATTATATATAATAACATAACCTTATCTAAACAATAAGTAGGTATTGTTTTTATAGATGCCTATGTAACTGATGATATAACATTTTTTTATAGTCACTTAATGCATTTACAAATAGGTAAACAGCATAATAAAAAATGTAGAATAAAGGTACATAATATAGTATATTATCATGTTAATCACTATATGTTCAGGCTATATGCTATGAGCCAATTATTACTTAACTAATTTTTAGAATGATAGTATTAATTTGAAATCAAAGTTATTTAAAATGTATTTAGTTTTTGTTCCAAAAATATTACTAGAATTAGAATAAAACAAAAATACGTACATAAAACAAAGTTAGTATTTGAGCGATTAAGCAATTAAGTTGTCATCTCGATAACGAGAGGAGACAACGTCTCAAAAATACTTCATAAGTTATGAGTCTATATTTCTAATATATTAGATACATTCAAAAAGATTTAATTTTACTTGTAAGTACGTTTTTACGAAACAAAACCATGTCCCTGAAAGAATCCTTGTGAAATTGTTATAAATAGGGCTGAATTAAGCTTAAAGAAACTAATGAAGTATGCACATACATTGATGCACATAGTATACTCACAATAATAACAATATGCAACAAAACAGTATTTGACTGCCGAATTTATTTTAGAAATTATTGGATTTTGGATGGAGAATATAAAATTATTTACAGTGGGTTTAAATAAGTTCCTCTAAAACTAAGCTTAAGTTTTTTTAAATGTTAAATAATTAATATTTGTCATAGATACAGAGTTTGATATTGTTATTTATTGAAAAGGCGCCTACTACGTACCTATATGAATTGCAATTTATAGAACGTATTATAAATAATCAAAAGTTAATATTTATAATAATAATTCAATATATAGTTATCTACCCATTGACCATTAGTATACAGCATATAATGTTTCAGTAAAGAACTATTTAAATCAGCGTGATAAAATTTGAAATATGTAAATTATTATTTATGAATACAAAATATCTATGTGAATGTGGCCATGAATAAAAATTGTTATTCCATGATGTTTTTTTTTTTTTTATAAGTTTAATTGTCAATAAGATATAGGTTCTGTGATCAACACTTACTATTTTTTATTCAAAATACTTTTAAGTACACAAATAGTATATTGGCCCAACTCCGCAATTATTAACCATTAGGTACTCCATACATAAATTAACCCAAACACCATACAGTTAGATAAGTCTTAATACACAATCGTGTTTTCTTTATTACACTATTATTGTAATTTAAAGTGAAAATTTACAGGAAATCTGTGCTCCATCAATAATTAATGTAAAATTAAAATAATATACTGTTTCATAGTTGCTTTAAAAGATTCTATTAATATTATGCTAGGTAACAACTAACAAGTTTATTTTTTTAGAAATTCAATAATTTTTTAAAAACGAGTTATTGTAGAAAATATTATAGTTTGTAAAAATTAATTCTCATACAGTTAGACTAATAGGAAAAAAGCCACTAAAATGCATGTGACATTTTTCAAAAATGTCGGTATATAACGTCAAGGTCATCGTAAAAATATCTCAAACTGATCAGTGATCACTGCGGTGAATAGTCGGTACTCTTCGCAACTTTTCGTTGCTCATATACAATATGCACGTTTATCTACCGAGTATTTACCTACTTGCATTATTATCACGTTTATTATCGACGGTTCTGTCAATATACATATATTTTTTCACAATATATTATTTTATGAGGGCAGAAGGTACAATGCTTATACGGCGTTTTAATTGAATAAGAATTAGAAGTGGGGAGCAAAAGTGTAAAAAAAGTGTGCTTCCTACCCGAAGAGTTAAATTTCTTATTTTATTAGAATATGGTTATTGTAACAAGGGGCATGGTAAACAGTTACCACTCGTTCCTTGTTTTTTGAACGGAAAAAAGGTACGAGTGACATGCAAGACATTCTTTTGAAAAAAAAGATGACAGATGGGGTCCCTCCCTCGCCCTTAAGCACCGTATTATACACCTATAGATATAAAATATATATTACGAAGCTTGTACTCACATTTCGCCAAACATAGGGTCCAGAGTGCTGAGTTTGTATTCCTCGACGACTGTGTTTTTCTGGAGTACGCACATGTCGACGAATCTGCCGCCGGTGGAGGACGCGGCGGCAACGGCAAACGAAACGATAAGCGCGACGACGAAAATCATGCTGGTTTTCCACGCAGAAACGTACTGAGAAAACATCATTCAGCATCCAACAAAACGATGAACGCAGTTTGATTTTCAAGAAAATATTTTTCTGTTACCCACCGAGGAGACGACCGGCGGCGTGCACGTACTCGCGGCTTGGTACCGTAACGGGCACTAACCGAGCAGGAGCCAAGTCGTTTTTCTAGCTTCACTGCCGCCGCTGATCGCGACCGCTGCGAATAGCGGAGACGTGAAACTAGTTTGGTCCAGAAACTCGGCGCCTATAAACCACCTATTAAATAGTTATACTATGATAATGTGCATGAATGTCTTAACATTACTGGATCGCCCATGACGGCGACAGAAATATTATAGTTTTGGCTGAGGACAATAGAGCCAGAGAAGATGCCGATGCGACCGATACAATTTAAATCACCATAATATTATACGTTCGAGTCCGTAGACCATAGTCAACGTATTGCAGGCAATATAGCCTTATCGCGAGCCGTTCAGTGTCGAATTAGTTTTGTAATATATAGTACCTATAAATATGTAATATTATTATATATCGGTTCTTACTTAATAGACAATTAATTTTATGAATATTTTATTATATTATTCATTATCACAAAACCATATTAATGTAGTATATATGCTATACGTATACTGTGCATCCTGGTATTTAGGGAATATTTTATAGAGTATAATTAATAATTCAAACCAGACTCGATAACGATAATCAATAAGCTATATTATGTACGGTCAAAATTATGATAATATCAGCCTTTATATAACATAGTAGGTAGGTAATACGATGAATCTTATCGGTTCACTATTTGACACCGTTTTACGTTTAATTGCTCGTGAGCCCATTAATATTTGGGTATAGCCGTCGCCTGTCAGTGAACTTTTTTTGCACCCGGCCATTATCATAATATTAATAAAGCTATATTTAAAGTGTGTGTGGAAAGTTCACAATTATTGTTGTTTTTACTGCGATAGGATTTATAGTAATACAATACACAATCGGCAATAGCTAAAAGTTTTACATTTTATAACAGAAAAAGACGTGGGAACGAGATCTGGCTCTCACGCAGCCGTTTCAAGGCGATTTCGATATTACTGTCATAGTGTCTCGTTTAAAACAAAACGTGGCGAAAACAAATAATCGATTAAAATATGATATTTTTATTTTGAGTTAATAGGTGTTGAATATTATATTATATCTATAAAAACCTGTGATTGTTTTGGCTCTCGTATTTCAAAAATATGAATTCCTGAACAACTCATCGACGACTAACCCGCGATAGTAGGTACATTTGTATAGGTTCGTACACAAATAATTATAGTTTTTGAACGAGACATCGTGTTTTTAAATAGGTAGGTACTTTATATTATTGCATAAAATATTAATGTATAAGCATTTATAGTTGTTGATTCATAATATTCTTTTTATTATTAATATCGGGTGTCGAAATAAACGGTGTTATCTGCTCAGCTTAATTGCGGAACTTTATTGATAATAGTTATTAGTTGCCTTAATTATAAATTATAATTATAATTGTTTCTTATTCGAGTTAACGGACCTGACGACTGCAGAAGTGAATTTCACAAAATACGAATGATGATAGAAATGACTAATGAGCTCGGAAGACTCAATATGTAGTGTGTTTAACTACAATTATTACAAGTTATAACAATAGTTAGAAATAAGCACTGCACTTTTTGAAAGTTGAGAGTTAAAAATGATTTTTTTTTTAAATTAACTAAAAATTATGAATTCACAAACAGTATAACTAAAATTGTTCAGCTACTATACTCATCGGTTACTACATAATAAAAAATAATGTAGTAACCGATTTAATAAATTAAAATCTTGACTCGTTTACGATTCACTAAATTTTTTTTAAAATCTTAATGTACCATCTCATATTTTACTATTGGCTAATGGGTAAGTGAATTTATAAAATTTTTCTTCGAGTACAGTTTGTTTATTTAATGAAATATAATAACTTACATTTTTACAGTGCCGTAGCCAACGGGTAGGCCTGGGAGGCCCGGGCCTATAAACTTTTTTCCAAAAAAAAAAAAATTTTTATCCTATTAAAGGTGTAGTGTATAATGTATATGACTAAAATATGTATTTAAAATAATAGAATTAATATATTGTAAATACGGATTTAATTAACAAAATTAATTCCCAATGGTTTTTAATCGGTTCTGCAAATCAGTTAATGACACGTCTTTTGTTTTGAGTGTTGTGGTTTAATATCCCATCAACTCCTGTTAATCGGCTTCCATCGAAATTTATAGTGCATCAAAGCGAAGAACATGGAATTGGATCCAGGGTCAATTAAAGTGTACAAATTGGTTCCCGAAAAAAACACTTTCCAGTATACAACTGTTCGAATTGGTTCAAGAAAAAAATTACTTATCAGTTTATCGGATTACCTTTATTGCCTCCTGATATAATACAAAAGGTTTATGTTGAGTTGATAGCCATAAAACATGTACATGAAAAACTTGATACATTTTTTGATTATGCACTTGAAAACTATATTGAAATGATAGGGATTTTTTACCAACAATTTGTGCAAATTTTTCGGCCACTTCAGAACGAACAAGAAACTGTTAAGAATCATATCATGGAGAACAGAATTCAAGATTTTATTCCGCCCACCCAAATATTTTTTTATTGATTGAACAATTAAAAGCGTTGCTATGTGAAACATATATAAAGCAAAAAAGCTCACTTAAATTAAAATTAAAAAAAACAGATAGTCATATGCAATTTTAAAAATAAAATTGGAAAGGGAGGCATGGGCACCCACAGACAAATACGTTTTGAGAATCAACAAAAATAAAAATATGAAAAAATTTGAATTAAAAACAAACATTAAAGACTGCAGTCTATAAAATCAGTATGCCTAACTTCATAGCTTTATTAACAATAATCGAATAATGGTAAAATGAATATGTATGAGGAAACAGGTAATTTTCATAATTTAAAAATGGTATTTAAAAGTAATCGAGAATTCTATTTTTAAAATAAAAATGGGAAGGAGGTCATAGGCACCCGCAGTCAACGGCGTTTTGAGAATAAAAAACATAAATAAATCAAAAATTCAAATAGGATTCAATTCTAAAAATAAAAATGGGAAGGGGGACATAGGCGCCCGCAGGCAAATGCGTTTTGAGAATCAAAAAAAAAAAATTATGAAAAAATTTGCATTAAAAACAAACGTGAAAGACTGCAGTCTATAATATCAGTATACCTAAACTCATAGCTTTATTTAAAATAATTGAATAATGGTAAAATGAATATGTATGAGGAACCAGCTAGTTTTCAAAATTTAAAAATGGTATTTAAGTCATGGAGAGTTCATTTTTAAAAATAAAAATGGGAAGGGGGACATGGGCGCCCGTAGGCAAATGCGTTTTGAGAATCAAAAAAAAAAAATATGAAAAATTTGAATTAAAAACAAACATTAAAGACTGCAGTCTATAATATCAGTATTCCTAAACTCATAGCTTTATTTAAAATAATTGAATAATGGTAAAATGAATATGTATGAGGAACCAGCTAGTTTTCAAAATTTAAAGAATGTGAATAAAAAGTTGAACTAGAGTTAAGTTATTGAAAAAAAATTTGAAGGGGGGCATGGGAGCCCGCAGGCAAATGCGTTTTAAGAAACATGTATGGAACCAACTAGTTTTCAAAATTTAAAAATGGTATTTAAGTCATGGAGAGTTCA